AGAAGAAGAAGAAGAAGAAGAAGAAGAAGAAGAAGAAGAAGAAGAAGAAGAAGAAGAAGAAGAAGAAGAAGAAGAAGAAGAAGAAGGACAACCAGGTCTTCTGCATCTGCTCACATGTTCAGAGAGCTCGCCTAGCTTAAAAGACAAAAGGGGGAAGAGATGAGCCCTAACATTCTAGCCAGGGCACTGGTTCAATATCTGCCTGATCCTGCAGCCTGTCCCTTTCCAAGAAGCCCCCTCTCACCTCACTGTTTTTCCTTGCACAGCCCCATACTCCCCATGTTCTGTGATAGGGTCAGGCCTTCCCCTAGACACTGGAAGGAGAGGTCCAACTACAGCCACAGGCATTGATGCTTGGAGGTGGAACACCAGCATATTGTGGGGAATACAGTTCAGCCTATATTAGGTATTGTTCTAGTCTTCCTATTGCAAACCAAGACTCAGAGTAGCTTTCCCAGTGGGATAGAAGATAGGTGGCATGACTCATTTTCTAACCTGGCTGCACCTATTCATCCCCTGCTCATAGCAAGCCTTTTCCCGGGCCCTCTTCACTTTCATCTCATGTAGCATTAACTTCATTTTACAAATGGATCTCAGCTCAGTGCAGTGGCTCACCCAGAGTTGCACAGGTAGAAAACAGCAGTTCTAAGGTTCAACCCAACATCCCAGCTAGTAATTATCACCCAGGCCAACCACATCTTCGAGAAGGTTCTCCTCCTCACCCCACGTGTTCTGCGTCACAGTGGTATAACTTACTCCCTGCAGGGGAGAATCTCAGCCATAAACTGCACCTCACTGTTACTGTCCAGCTGAGGCATGTGCGGAGGCAGTGAACCTTCACTGAGGGGCACAGCACTGTAACAGAGGATCACAGATGAGCTGCTCGGAAATCGAAGTTCATCCCTGCAGCTGAAGAAGCGCTGAATGGAAAGCTGCCCAACAAGTGAATATCGTTAAACAGCAATGGATGCCATAGTGAATTACTTCCCTACTGGGTGTTACCAGTGGGCTAAGGGTCACTTCTCTGTCCTAAGAGACATAAGCCTCTACTGCCATGCTCGAGTGGAGCTGAGTATCAGAGGAAGTTATAGAGAAGTTGTTTACATTGCTCAGTCTTTCTCAAAGTATACAAAAAAGAAAAGTATCACTTCCTGGCAATGACTACAGACTCTGGTGTTAATGAAAAACTTCACAAACAACCAAATGACACATATGTGCAGGCATGTGCACATACACAACTTACAAACAAGTGCCTCACCAACAGCATCCTTGAGTCCAGAGCGTAAGGCAAGGCACGAGCCACAGCAGCTGCTTCAACTCAACACAAGAGAATGATGTGGAAAACGCCCCCCATCATGCCACTGATGGAGGCTGATTTAGCATAAGTTAATTTTGTTTCTGCTCATATTCTTTTTTTTTTTCTGTATTTTAGGGAAGGGTCTACAGGGTGTTCAGGTTCTCACTACTAGATCGGACTCATAGTAATTTGCCTGCTTACAGCCTCCCAAGTGCTGCCAATTACAGGCACGCACCACCATGCCCAGCCTCAGTTGCCTTCTCAGCGTGCCCTGGTGGGGCAGGACCCCCTGTGCCTGCTTTAATCCGCTGAGCTATTTGACTGGTCCTTCTGCTCATATTCTTCAAAAGAGCCCCAGGATTTTGCCCTATGAAGACAAGCTCTGGAGGCAGGCAGACTCAAGTTCCTAGCCAGTTCTACCACATACTATCCTCTGAAACCCAGGTAAGTTGTTTCTCTTTTCCAAGTTTTGGTTTCCTCATCTCTAAAATGGAGGTGCCAATACTTATCTATTTTTTTCCCATAATTTTATTGAAAAACTACAAAGGAAAGTGGTCGATGATGTAGAGTGTGCCTAAAGAGACTCACCTATTTTAGGGAACATAAACATGAAACTATGACCCTCGAGTCCTAAGACAGTGCGTAAGCTATGGGTGTTTGGAGACCTGGTTTACATTCCAAATGCAGACACTTTGTCAGAAGTATAGAGACAGGAAAACAACTAACAGAATGAAGACACCAGACTGATGGAAGACTTCCTTTAATTGTGCTCAAATGACAGGGAACAATGTGTACCACTGTGTTGCCAGCTTGTGCTGGCTGAAAACTCAGAGCAGGTGTAGTGGGCATTGCGTACCAGAGAATGTGCCACCCAAGTCCTACACTGAAAACCATTTGGTCTACAGATGTCTCAGTAAGGGATACGGGGCTGCATCCCTTTCTCAAGTGGGAGAGAGGACAGAGGAAGCCGAAGACCGGGGGGGGGGGGGATAGGCTAGGTTACATGTTTCAGGAAGGTATGTAAACATAAGAAGCATTAGGAAAAAGGAATTCACAGAAGTTTTGTGATTCCCATAGCTTTATTTATTATCATATTTGTTGTTGTTTTGGGGCTGAGTCTCACTGTGTAGTTCAGGCTGGCCTTGAACTTTCCATGTAGCTAGGTGAGCCTCAAACTTGCAATCCTCCTGCCTCAGCCTCCTGAGTGCTGAGATTAGAGACATGTGCCACCACACCTGTTTCATCTAATTTTATTAACTAATGTCAACAATCCAGTGTTATTACTAGGATTACATTGTTTATTCACAGTATTTTTGTCCTAGTTTATTTAAATCTTCAAATAACTTACATTTGGTATATATAATGGATGAAGTTCTATGTATAGATGAAGTTCTAGTCACCCCAGCCTCCTTTGAGTCTAGAACTAGAGTGAAACAGCATCCACGGCCTGCTGTCAGCCACCTACAACAGTGCCTTCTAGAGGCCTCTACTTCAAATTACATCTCTCCTGGACCTCTCTGCCCTGGAGAGGCAAATTCGTATTGAAATACATTTTACTGCAGAAGCAATATGCACTCTCTACACTAACTCTGGAATGAATGTGTATGAATGACACAATCACAAATGGTATTTAAATTGTCTGATTCCTGAAAGAACAAAAAGCCTAACCAAACGGATCTTTGGTTGCATTTTTGTTCACTGAAATGACCAGTTTCAACAAACAAGCTTTAATGAAAGAACTGAGTAATTCATCTTGTCAGTTGCAGTTCATTAGAAAAGGGAGAGGGCTCAGAAATTAACGAAACACAACCATCCCAATAGAACTTAAAAAGTATCAGAAACAAGTTTGCTTAAATAAAAAAATACAGCAGCAGCAAAAATGTCCAACGGGTGTAAACACCACTAGTAACAACCCTGCTTAAGAACAAAGACAGCATTCTTTCAAAACACTGAATATATAAAATGAGACTCTTGATGCCTAAGACAACCTGACCGACAGTGCAACACAGGTCGCTGTTAAGTAAATCAGCTTTTCCAGGAGACTCTTGAGCATCACGTGGCGGCCAGGGGCGCGCTTTCCAGGAGTCTTCTCCGAGCTGTGATTCGGGCACACCGGGGACAGCCGGAGGACTGGAAGCAGTGCTTGTGAAAGCAAGCCCGGCACGCTGCAAGCAAGGAAAGCAGGCGTTAGCAACCACACGGGATGGTTTTGTCACATAGGTACATGTATACAGCGGCCCATTCTCGCCCTGGGGGGGACAGTTCTGTCTCCTGAACAGAAATCAGCCAGGCTGAAGCTTACAAAATGAAGAACATCAGGCCAAGAAGGGTGATAGAAGGAGGTGGCCCTGTGTCCCGGATCTGCCAGGCACAAAGCTGGTGTTCCCCTGCCTCCTGGTGGCTGATGGCTCTGGGAGATGAGCTGCTTCTCTGGAAATTACCTGAGTACAGGGCTGCTTTGTCCAAGGTGGTGCATTCTGCTGGCACTGCCAATATGCAATGACTGTCACTGTGGGGTTTAAAGAGCAAGCAACCCAGCATTCTGTCGCCAGGTGGGGGCAGCACTTAAAGGCCACCGCAGCTCCCAACAGATGGTCGGGGGCCTTCTGTAGAGGCACAGCACAGCTCAGCTTCTCCCTGCATTCAGTCCTGCTTCCTTCACGCACACACCCTCCCCCAACAGGCACAGAGCCCGAGAACCATGAGACTTTGCGCACAGATCCCTGCCGCTGGGTTTCTCTTTGGGGAATCTATCCTGACATACTGTAGTGCCTGACAGCTTGGGATGGGCAGCCTGAGAGCAGCCTAAGAAGAAATTGCCCCCATGTCAAGGGTGAAGGTAGGGCCCAATAGCCAACTCTTCCTCACGAAACAGCTTAGAAAGAATGTGATTCTCTTGAGCACTGATACTCCAGAATGAAGGGCAGCAAACTTTTCAGGGGACAGCCAGATGGTAAATATTTTAGTCGTCAAGGGATACATGTATCATTATGCCACAAAATGTAAATAAAATTCAATTACAGAGCAGAGGCAGCACAGGCAAGAATGGGACTATCTCCTCTCTAAGGCAACCAGAGACATCAGCCTTTGTCTCTGTCCTTCCCAAATACTCCTTCCTTGAGGGCCCAGTACTGTATGATTTGCAGTTCATCATATGAGCACACTCTAGCATCAGCATATTTAAAAGTAAGGGAATGGCCAGACAGCTCAGCACACTAAAGCGCCCTCTTAGGCAGATGCAGGGACCGGGGTTCGATCCCCAGGGTGCCGTGCCAGCCCCACTCCCAGGGAGCACTGAGACAGTGATTGAGACTGGGCATGCCTATAATCCCAGACCTTGGAAGGCTGAAAACAGCAGGATCACTACGAGCCCAATCTGTGTAGTGAGACCTTGTAGACCCCTACTAAATGCATAAAAAATAAAAAATAAATAAAAGTAACTAGCCAAGCAGAGGCAATACCTCATGATCTCAAAGCTCTGGAAGGCTAAGGCAGAAGGAGTATGAGTTTGATACCAGCCTGGAAAACTCAGGGACTTAGGAGATCCTCTCAAAATATTAA